CTACGATATACATTACGTAACAAGCCCGTTTGCCAGGATTCGAACCCCGAACCGAACTTCCAGTGTTCAGCGGCTTTTACCTCTCGGCCGCTAGTGGGCGGGCACTCATATTTCACCATGGTAACGAATCTTCTCATTCAGCAAGACTGACAGTAGAATTTCTTAATCAAACACACGTCAAAGTGATGTAACATTCAACTTATTCTTTTTTATCTTATGATATGTGACTTTTAGCTACTTTTTAATCTGAATCAAAATTTACGTAGCCGTCATTTTCATTTCGAAGTTCAAACTGATAGGCTATAAAAGAATATAATGAATGGCTTGAAGCATTTATTATTTTGGAAATTCTCCGACAAATTTCATTGAGGGATGCAACTATACATTCAAGATTTGGCAAGTTTAATTTGTACCATTTAGCTTTTTCTAAAAAATTTCAGACTGACCCTTCGTATTGTTACGAATTTTGTATTTACATTAGTAATTTAAGTATAATTATAAGTAAAACTGTTGTATTTTTCTGTGTAATGTAGCCCGAGACAAATTTTAAGAGAAAGCTATGCTAGGAAAGTAAGAATACAGGGGCAAGTGCATTTAACATTGAGTAAATGGTATCTCGGTAGTTTAGCGAGATATCGCCAAGCTGATAACGGTTTTAGGGACTTATTTTGTAGCCAAATTTGGCGACATTTAGGTCCGGTCCCTGTATCACCGTAATAAGTATCGTAACTGAATAAATGTGATTGACCACTATGTTAGCTGTAACCGTAGTTCAACCCTTGTATTGCTTTCCGGTAATTTCGAGAAGCAGAAAGTACTAGAAGTATCTCGGCGGCCGGTTGAAAACTATTTAAGGCCGAAGACTTCTGCCTTCCCCGAAGAAAACTTCGCTGATGTTTTTCACCTCCGCCAGGCCTGTTTGGAACTTATTATGGAACTCGTAAGAACAGAATAAGAAATCTCCTGCTGTGGACCAGTATGATAAAAAGTATCAAAGTATCTGCTGTCAACTGGTTAGTTAGGTACTCTTGTTATTGTTGCGTGTTTAGCCTGAGATCGGATTAGCTTTCTCTTTAGAAGCATTTTGCATTACGTTGTGTTTAACGATCTTAGGTAGTTTGAAGTGTAACAACTGGTTATACTGTGTGATACTGTGAACACTTGTATGAATATTTCTGTGAAAAATTCCAGAGTTCTGAAATATTTCTTTTGATAACAATAAATTTTATTAACCTATTATCGGACTTAAGCATTCAATCTATCACGAACCCATACGCCCGCAATAGTATTTATATCTTATTTCCTTTGTTTCTAATAATATTCTTTCTTCCGTTATTTAAAATATGTTCGTTTTCTGTTTTGAATACTGATTTAGTTTACAAAATAAACTTATTTTCTATACTAAACTGCATGAAAATAGAAGAAAATTGTCTTTTTCTGTTTATTATAATATCGATTATTCCTCTTACCTGAGTTTTTTAATTGTTATCGGATTAATCACGATACAGAATTAGGCTCCGGTTGCAACGGAAGTTGACTGTAAGAGCAATTTCTAATAATTTGAAATATTTCGAGCATAATGAATGTTTAACATGTAAAAATTTTTAACATGTAGATGTTTACTTAAAAATCAAAAATGAATGTTTACTTTGGTTTGTAAGGAATTTTTGTCATCCTTAGGAAGTTTATGTAAAACATATGAATGCATTTTACTGCTTTAAGTTTTTCGAATACTCTCTTCACCCGGCAGATGTATTTGAATTTAAAAATCTCTATTTTTAAAACTCTATATCTCTTTCATGGTAGGGTATGAACTGCGCCAAATTTGATCGAAGATCCGCCCCCTCTTATCTAAGAGACGAACTGCGCGACTTTTCCCTGTCCCCTCTTTCTAAGCACTTGAATTCCCAAGAAGATTGGGTGCTACAAAAAGGTCACTTATCGCCATTAATAGGGCATTTTATTCAGACTGCAAGCCTCTATTTTCGTTTATCGATATTGTAAAAAATTGAGCATACAAAACAAATATTAGTTTAAAGTCTGGCATGTGCTAAAGTAAAAATTAATTTCTTTCACACTCATTTTAAAGTTTTATGATATTTAAAAGAATGATAAGCTAAATGTTTTTTATTCTGTGTAAAAATTAAAAACTTTCCAAGTTGTAGATCGCTGATCAGTTTTGAATAATAAAATTCATAGATTAATCACATACACAAAACTGATACATAATCAACCTATCAAATATCGGATTTGTAGCGCACCTTAAATAAGTTTTTTGTCTAGATAAATATTAACAAATCTTCTTAGATAGCAGATTGGTTTAAACTTTCAAATTAACCACTTCTAAACAGTTTTAATTTAATTTAAACAATTCTCTTTATAAATCTAAAAATTGGATTTCTTAAGTGGTTCTAAATTCACACTAATATTATTTCAATATATTGCCGTATTAAGCTTTCCATTTTTAGTCATTGAAGTTATTTTACGGTTATTTAACTTTCTTACAAAGTCCATATTTTAATACTAGAAACGTTTAAATATTTATTGTCTTTTCCAGTTACTTTACCTGATGTACTTTGGCATACATTTAATTTCTAACACATATTTAATTAATAAATTTATAATTATGAGCATCTGCAGAATTTTCATAATTAACAAAAAAAAAAAAAAAAAAAAAAAAAAATTCGAACTCCCTTATAGTCATATCTTGGGATTTTGAGTTCCCTTTTTATTCATTCTTTTTTCACATATTGTTGCACTGTATTCAAGTTTTCATGTAAGTAGAATTTATATATTTTGTATTGTATTTATGCCAGTTTATATTTAAATGATAATTTTTACAAATTCTTGCATCATAACTCTAGTTAAAAGAAGATATTTCTAACACATTGATAAAGCTTAATCTTCAGAATGCAGCTTATTTTCTAACCTAGCTTCAGGCTGAATTATTTGTAAAATTAATTATTTGAAATTATTTGTTAACAAAGATTGTTGCTAAATCACGTTAATAATATTTCTAATTGTTGTAATTTATAATGCAACAAGTTCATGTGATTTATAACAGAATTCATTTACAATTTTTTCAGCAGTATTGAAATTAATAGCAGATATTGATAACGTTATACATTTAGATTACAATGATTTCGATTGCCATTACCTTGTTCGCTGATGCTTTTATGCTACATCCTAATATTTCATAATGGCATTCAGACAAGTTTAATTCATTCACCAAACATGTGAATCTTTAATTCAGTCTACTTTTGTTCTTACGTGTGCTGTATCTTCTATTTTCTTTAATATATTGTTCAGCCTAATTTCAAAAGGTCTTATGATCAAGCGGAAAAGTCACTAAACATTGGTAGTTCGACCCGAGGTTCTAATCCCAGAAATCTTCCAGCTCTTTCTTTTTTTGTACTTATTAACTGTGTAAAAATGTATCGTAAAAATTTCAGTTCATGATGCAAAAATATTTTTTTAATTTATTCTTTAAAAACATGGCAAAAATTTTCACCTTAGCATATCCTTTTACAAATCCCTTTAATAAGATAAAATAAGGAAAGAAATTAACTCGGATTCGATGATTGATGCTTCGGTCCAAATTATATGTAACCTTTTCCAAAAGCATAGAGTTTATTTGGATATCAATAAATTAAGGATTATTTCTCCATCTAATTTTCTTAAAATGTTTATTCCAGCATTTTCTTTTCACACTGTAGCGCTTAACTTTGTGAGTTTTCTATAATCATTCAATTTCTGTAGCTATAGTAACTTTGCATACCTTCTGACAAGTAGTTATATTTTTAAGCACTGTATTTTAATTCCTGTTGACTATCAGTATATTGTTCATTAGTGCAAATATTTATTTTTATGCAAATCTACGTAAAATAGCAATAAAACTTCAGTTATGCGGAGCTCCTGATCGATTGCTTGTTTTAGATTGAATGAAATTAAGCTTAATGTTACTGTTAATTAGATTGTTATTAATTTAATTGTACGTTTCTAATTAATTATATGTTCAGATATTTCCAAGTATATTACGCAAACTTTTGCATCCCGATTTTTAGTTTTTGTTTAAAAAAATAAGTTTTTATTTTTTGAGAGGCCTGAATGATTATATTAATTTGCAGTACAGTTTACCTAATTCTTTTCTTCTAGATCAATTTTAGAAAGAACTTCTTAGCATAATAATTTAAATTTATTTACAATTTATACGTCAGTGTCCCAAACGCATAGTAATGCTGTTATAATAGATTTCATGCTAAGCTTTTTTTTTTTTTTTTTTTTTTTGTTTTTTGAATTTAACTATTAATTTCTGCAAACATTTACATGACTACTTTAATTAACGAAAAATATTTCTAGCACACTTTAACACACTTTGATTCGAATTAAAATTAAATTTTCCAGTCTAGTTCAGAAATCTTGACTATTATTGATGCAATTTGTAAAAAAAAAATATAATTTGTATGCTTTACAATTATTTAATTTATGATATTATTATAATGCTCTTTGCTCTAATATTGTAATTAATGAAAGATGTTTGTAATGCTAATATGTATGTTTACCAATACCTTTTATTTTCTTTGTTAGCTCTTCCATTTATTACTGTTATTCAAGTAATTAGCCTGCTTGTTCGATATTCTTTACTTGCTCTTTTAATTCTTAATATGTAGTAATTCTATTTTCTTTATTTTTATTTTCCTCTTGGCTACAATTGGCTTCGAAAAGTTAAATTGTAACCCTGTAGGCAACGGGGGGGGAAAGAAATTTTGATTTGTGCAGTTGGACTATAGCAGGACGGGGGGGGAGGATTTTTATTCGCGCAGTTGGAACCCATCCTCTTTGGTAATTATCCTCTTTTCTTGGTACCTTCGGCGCATGAGCAAAATTTTTCGAAGAATTCCTGCTGTATCATCACCTGCTGTTGCATTATTAAGTTACCCTTACACGAAAGCTTAATAAGTTTGCTAAAAGCAGTTAGTAGATTGAAGTGTTTCTTCTTTGCAAATAAAGCGGATTTACCCACATGCCAAGATCTTATTAGCTTTTACTTTGATTTTATGAAATTAAGAAGATTGGTGTTCCTTTAATTACTTTTGAAAGATAAATGAAATTTAGAGCTCAAAGCTCTGCAAAAATTGGTGAGTTTTGTTTTTATATTATTGCTCTATTTTATTCGCGTTTTTGAATTATTGTCTTCTCAATAACTAGTGTATTAAAATATTATAAAAAATGTTTAGAAAGGTTAGAGAAAAACATTATTCAGTTTGAGTTATGATCAAGAAAGAGGTCTCCGAAATGAAAACGAGTTCAAATTTTCATTATCATTTAAATCACGAAAATACTAAAATAAATTTTGAAATATTTGCAAAACATGTTTTAAGAACTATTCAACTAGCTTGTATTATACTTTAACTTGAGTATTACTGAAAACACCTTGGCGCAGTTTGTACAATTTTAACGAAGAAGAAGAACAATAACTTTTACTTGTAAAAAATTATATATTTCGTACATAGATATTAAAATGTTCATATTCTGCTTTCCAACTATATATTTATTTCAAAAGGCACTCAGTAAATCTATTGACAAAAAACGTCTTTGGTTTGTAGTGGTGGAAACTTTGTAACAATTGCTTTGAGAAAGAATTCGAAGCATTGTTTATTTAGCGATTTTGAAACAAAATAATGTATGCACCTCCTCAAGCGATTTTGCAATAAAATAATGTATGCATGCAGAAATTTCACCTCCGCTTTGTTCTATTGTAGGAGAATCCTGTAAGCGCAAATTTTAAAATCGAATTTAAACAAACAACAACAACAAAATAATAATAATAATAATAATTTTTCTATAAAAGCCAAAATTACCTTTATTTAGAACCTTCAAACAGACGGAACAAAAAAAAAAAAAAAAAAAAAAAAAAAAAAAAAAAAAAAAAAGGATTATAATTAAAAGAACGCATACGGAAAGCGATGTTAAAGACTGATTATTTCTTGCGATCATGGCTGTCTGATTAATTGTTATGGGCGTGGCTACCAAAGTTTGGTGCTTTCTGAGGCTTTGGAGATTTCTACAAAGGTGGTTGTGATAATACACTGACTACCAATAAGTATTTGGACACCTATGCAAATGACGATATCTGCGGTCCTAAGGTACATCACGGACTCCGCCGGTATATATAGTGTAGGAAACAGCATCGGCTTTAGTCGCATGCAAGATGATTCGCAGTTCGGAGCTCTCTGATTTCGAGAAAGGTATAATTATCGGGTATCACAAATGTGGCCGATCCTTAAGGGACATATCTAGCGATCTGAAGTACCTAAAATCGAGAGTGGCCTATGTGATTAAGAAGTGGAAGCTGAGCGGTGATTGTCGGAATGTGCCCCGAGTCGGCAGACCAACGAAACTGGGAGATAGAGACCGACGAGTGCGGTCCAGAGAAATTCGGAAGAACCGCACGCAACCGATGGCCCTCATCCGCGAAGAATTTCAACAGGCATCCGGGAGTATTGTTTCAATGAATACCATCCGTAAGGAAGCACATCTGCTTGGTTTTCATGGTCGTGCTGCTGCCCATAAGCCTTTGATCACAAAGTCCAACCGCGCTGCTCGGTTAATGTGGTGCAAAGCACATCGAAATTGGACCCTAGATCAGTGGAAACGGGTTCTTTGGAGTGACGAATCAAGGTTCACCCTTTACCGTTCGGATGGCAGGATCTGGGTCTGGCGTCTACCTGGAGAACGTCTCCTGCCAGAATGCATTGTGCCAACAGTCAGTTTGGTGGAGGTGGAATTATGGTCTGGGGGTGTTTCTCCTGGTATGGGCTGGGACCCTTGGTCCCCATTCATGGTAAGTTCAACTCCGATGCCTACTGCACTATTTTGGATGACAATGTGCTTCCTACGTTGTGGCAGTTTTACGGGGTGGACCCCTGTTACTTTTAGGACGACAATGCCAGTTGTCATGTTTCGACGTTAACCAAGGCTTGGTATGGTGCCAATGGAGTTCATCGAATGGACTGGCCTGCCCAGAGTCCAGACCTGAACCCTATTGAACCTGAACCCTCTGGGACGAGTTGCATCGCCGAATTCAGGGGTGCACTACCCGTGCAAAATAGGTGAAGGAACTTCTATGTCTTCTCCAAGCCGAGTGGAAGAAAATACCACTAGCTGTCATACAAAGACTTGTGGAAAGTAGGAAAGTATGCCCCGGAGGGTCCACGCTGTAATTACCTCTCGTGGAGGCTCTACCAACTATTGATTTTGAATAAAGTTAGTTTTTCTTTCCTATCACAGGTGTCCAAATACTTATTGGTAGTCAGTGTATGTCAGTACACTTTAATTTTAAAATACATACAAACTAAAATCTATTCGTCTAAAAACCGAGGACTTTAAAGGGCTGCAATGTCATATAATTTTTTATTTACGTTCATTAGAATGCTTACTTTATTACTTGTTACCATAACCTCCATGGTTTTCCCATGGAATACGGGCCAGTATCTCTTGAAACATTCTCCACGAAGGCATCCCTCCATTTAAGCAAGTAATACTTCTGTGCTTTCTGTTTGAATATTACGCAATCATAGCTTTTAAATTATTATTATTCTTTTTAAATCTTTAACAAAATAAGAGAGTATATTACGAACAAGATAATAAATACAAAATGGCAACAACTCACACTACCTAGTAAGAGCCGTATGTAAAAATACAATTATTTCAGCTTTCATCGGCTTTAACTGACACTGTGCAATTGTTTTATGCATTAAGGAATGTAGCGTTAAAGACAGACAGAAATCGCTGTGTGAGCAGACCCTCCTGTTTACACGCAAATACATTCCTATTCCCAAGAAACGTATATCTGATAAATGGTTTGGTTTGATTTATTTAATTATGGAAGAGCACTCGAATGCTGTCTACCTAAGGGATTCCTTCGTGGAGGATTTTTCTAAGGGAAAGTGGCTTGTATACACGCTACACATGGGGAAAACAGGAAAATAGCCATGCAGCCAGTCCGTTGGTCAGGATTCGAACCCCGGACCGAACTACTACTGTTTAACAGATTTACCGCTCTGTCTCTGGTGGACTATTTAATAAATGCGCTATTTGTTTGTTCTTTTTCAGAAATTAGAAGAATACTGTATTTTCGAAATCCGAAATTTGTCGTGTAAGGGCGGAGCTTGTTTTAAGTTAGTAAATAATTAGGCAACCAAACAACTTTAGACAATCAAAAATTGTCAACAATACCTTGCATATTTATTTATTTTTTTAAAATTCCGCCGTCTCTTTCGAAGTCTATGAAATGCCTCAAAAGATTTGTGAATAATTAATCATCATATGTTGATATCTAACAGAGAATATTATTTGGGGGAATTGTGAAATTTGTTCATACAAACAGTACTTGTTATTCACTTCGTTTTATTCCAAAAGCTACCTTAGGCCAATTAATTCATTGTAAAGCACATGAGAGCTATCTGCCTAAGGGGAATAATTTGTTTGTGGAGGACTTTCTAAAGAAATGTCTGTCATAGTCACTTTACACATCGGGAAAACCACAAAGATTCCCGTACAAACGCTTTTTACAGAGCATTTGAGCCCAGGTCGAACTACTAGGATACAAAGATTTTATCCGCTCGGCTACAAGTGACATTCATTTTCGAACGACTCAACTGAAATTATTGTGTTGCAATAAAGCACATCAGAGTTATCTGCCTAAGGAAAGGGATACTTTCGTGGAGGACACTCTAAGGGAAACTAACTCGTAATCATTGTACACACGAGAGAGAGAACAACGACACACCATGCAGCTATTTTGTTTTCTCCAGGATCTAAACTCGGATCAAATTTCCAGCAATCAGCAATTTTGTCCGCTCTTCGGTTATTCGTTTAGTGGTTTTTTGTTTTTGTTTGTTGTTGTTTTTGTTGTAAGAAATTTACAGATACTTGCTTTAGGAGTTTGCAGATTGTGCAGGAATTAGAAGTGAATACATGAATTTAGAGAAAAATTACTGTAAATTGTTATTTAGAGAAAGTGTTTGCTTGTTAAAATTCTTTTCTTGGTATAAATTTCTTTCAAGTCAGAAAGAAAAAAATTAATTTTTAAAGTTTTTGTTCTTCAGAATTTTGCATCCATATTTGCACTTATCATAGCACATATCATAGCGTAAATCATTTTGATTACTTGTATATTAACCGATACCCACTCAAATATTCCCATTGAACTCTCGTTTTGGCGATGGAATATGCTTTTTCCCACCCACTTCGTTAGAAAGGAGAAAAGAAATATTTTGAAGAAAAGAAAAAATAAAACTCTTATCTTTCTAGACAAATCCGGAATAGTTTCTAGGGTTTGCCGAACCTTCGCAGGAATTAAAATTAAGGGTGATATATTTGGGGATATTACTGACTAATACACAGGCATCGAGTTATCTTCTGTTCAAGAGTTACTAACAAAGACCATTAAATTTAATTCACAAGTTTTAAATTAACTTCTTATTTCCTAAACTTACATGCATATAGATATTTTTATCATGTTCTTTTATTATTAACACCTTGCATACAACGCCGCATACGCATAAATCCCAGTTTTATTTGAAGGTTAGGTTAGGTTAGGTTAGGTTATGTAATTACGGCAAAGGCTCGAGGGCTATCTGCCTAAGGGAAGGGATGCCTTCGTGGAGGACTTTCTAAGGGAAACTGGCTCGTATACACGTTACACATGGGGAAAACCACGAAAACATCCATGCAGCCAGCCCGTTCGCGGGATTCCAACCTCGGACCGAACTATCAGTGTTCAGCCACTTTATCGCTCGGCCGCTGGTGGGCTTGTTTTATTTGAAAATCTGCTGTCGCCAATGAGTGGAAGACAAGCATAATTTGTCAAAATTCAAATATATTTGATGCCTTTTATAACGCTACAGATCCTTGATATTTTAATAAGGTTTCTGAGGAATGTATACAGCTTTTAGATCATTAATTTATGAAGATTGGAGTCGTATTCCAAAATGATAATAGAATTACGTAAGTAAAAATAATTAACTAAACAAAAATGCACTGAAAAAAATCTGAAAAGCTTCAAACTTTAATGGTCCCCCAAAAGAGTTTGTTAAGGTTTTATATGCTTTCGCTGAGTCCACAGTATACCAGTCCGCTGTTTCGCTCACTCTTAACTAGCCCAATTTTTTTTTGTCCTCTTAGCTTTATTATTAAGCTTCATTTTGTTCGCAATTACGCCATACACAATTCAACAGCAAAAATAAACAAGAAATTTAAAAACAGGATAACAGTACACGTTTAGAATTCCCCATGCAGCGTTGGCATACATTTCTCTATTTTTTTCCATCTTTTCTCATTTCATCATATAAATATTCAGTTTTTTCCTCAGATGACTTTGCAAAACTTTTTTTTTTTATTTATTTATTTGTGTGTTTTCTTCATTTATTATATTTCACGTTCTTGGCGCTTACGCCACATCAAATTCCATTCAACAGCAAAATACAGGATATTTATAAACAGCTTATCTGTAGAATTTCGGTAGACAATCCTGTGCGCTGAAAATAAAAATGTTTGATTCCGTACAGTGTTGCTACTGCTCGCTTCGAAATCGTTGGGTTAGTTAATCAAAAATTCAGTGAAATTTTACAAAATATGAAACAGACAATAAAGCAAAATAGAAATTCAAAATTTGGGCATTCAGGTGCCCTTATTTCGGGTGGGGGACTATGTTATTCAGAATTCGATGGCTCTAGGTACCTTTCTTTTTGCAATACGAGAAACGTATATACATTCATGCATGCAGATTCTTCATTATTTAATTCCCTTAAATATAATACCGGACGATAATATTTGATGGCAAGAATTTGAAAAGTGATACAAGGTACTACTTAAGCAAGTGTTTCTCAACCTTTTAGTATTCACGGCCCAATTTTCAATCATAATTTTCCCCTCCTCACAGCATACAATAAAATGTATGCAATAATAATGTATTTTGAGTATTTTGGCGCTAAACCTACACTACAACCTTAATTTAAAACTTTACAAATTACCAAGAATACGGAAATTTGTTAACATTTGGCAACACCGATTCTCAGCATTGAAAAAACAAGAATCCTATGCCTTTTTATTGCTCTTGCGTCCCGCCATGTCAGGCATTCTCACGGTTTCGCGAGAAGTTTAGATTTGTCTGGAATTTGTCTGATCAGCTTAAAAGTTAAGTTAGGAGCGTGCACAGATGTGAACAAATGTTTTCTCATAGGGAGAAGGAGAAAGTTCTATGACGCCAATTTCAATTCCAGACAATCTCATTCGAGTCGATCCTTCTATCGCTATTGAATCTATTCTGAATGTGTATGTTATATATATTTTCGTGTAATTGTAATTCACCGTATTAAATATTCACGGCAGCAGACTTATTGCAGAATCATGGATAAATTTTTAAGCGGGCGTAAGCGAGCATTAGACGATAGACAAGACAAGCATCAACAAGTACACAGACGAGCGTGGTTCCGAAAATAAAATCAAGAAAATATTCTCAAGAATACTTAAATTTTGGGTTCACTAGTACTGAAGTAAATGAAGAAGAAAGGCCCCTGTGTATCAGTTTGCTCAAAAGTGTTTGGCGGCAGACAGCATGAAACCTAATAAACTTAAACGACATTTGGAAACGCTTCATAGTAAGTACGTAAACAAACCCAGAGAATTCTTCGAATTAAAATTAAAATCATATGAAAAGCAAAAATCATTGTTTAAAAAAACTTTGTCTGTGAATGAAAAAGCTTTAATTGCCTCTTACGAAGTTTCATATAAAATAGCCAGATGTAAAATGCCTCACACCATTGGTGAAGAGCTTATTTTGCCAGCCGCAGTTGAGATCGTAGAAATTATCTGTGGATCATGCAATGTATAATTTTGTGGATCATGCAATGTATAATAATGGAGATAATTTTGCAAAGCAATTGCAGTCTATACCTCTTTCAAATGATACTGTTGCCCGTCGAATTGCTGATATAGCTGCAGATGTAGAGTGTCAGCTTTTGTCGAAGTTACGTGACAAATTGTTTTCAATACGACTCGATGAAGCAACAGATAGTAATAAAAATGCTCATTTCATTACGTATGTTAGATTTTGTGATGATTTGTCAGTAGTAGAAGAATTACTTTTCTGAAAACCAATAGAACTCAAAGCAACACACTCGCGTTATTTGCTGTCTTAAATGATTTTATGAACGAGGCAAACACAGAATGGAAAAATTGCGTCGGAATATGCACCGATGGTGCTCGTTCTATGTTCAGAAGATTCCAAAGTATTCAAGCACTTGTGAAACAAAAATCGCCACAGTGCGTCTGGACACATTGCATGATCCACAGAGAAGCTTTGGCTTCCAAAGAAATGAGTCCTGGTTTGAATATTGTGTTAACTACTGTTGTAACCGTAGTAAATTACATAAAAATGAGACCCCTGAAATCAAGAATCTTTTCCGCACTTTGTAAAGACATGGGTGCAGTACATCCAGCGTTACTATTTTATTGCGAGACAAGATGGTTATCACGAGGAAAATTTTTGCAACGTGTTTATGAATTAAGAGAAGAAATCGCCGTTTTCCTAGAAGAGAAAAACAGACCGGAAGCTGAGAATTTTCGAGATAGTTTATTTGTGATGAAATTGAGCTACATGGTCGACATATTCGAGAAATTAAATAACTTGAATCTTCAACTGCAAGGAGCAAATACACATATATTGGATACGAGTGATAAAGTTAATGCCTTTCGTAGGAAATTGGAATTGTGGAGCAGAAATTTAAAGCAAGAAACTTAACAATGTTTTCAAATTTGAATGATTGTATTAAAACTTACAAAGCTGAAGAACAACATGTAAAAGTTGTTTTGTAACCATTGAAAATCATTTAGCAATGCTAGCAAAGAATTTTAAAAAGTACTTTCTTGCTGACGACAAACTGATATCAAGTTACATGTGAGTGAGGGATCCATTTCAAAATACTCCCGAAGGACTCTCAATTGAAGAGGAAGAAACCTTCATAGACTTCACGGCAAGCGGCGAAACCAAAAGACAATTTAGTAATAAATCACTCTTTGAATTTTGGGCAGGAGTGGATGATGAGTTTTCTGCACTAAAAACAAGGGCACTTCGCATTCTACTACCATTTTCAACATTTTGTGAAACTGGATTTTCTGCGGCGGCTTCTTTGAAGACAAAATATAGATCTCAGCTAAATATGGAAAAAGAACTGAGAGTGTCTATTTCTAATATTAAACCCTCCTTCGAAAAACTTTGCTCTGCAAGACAGGCCCAAGAAAGTCACTAATAATTATTAAATTTGTTTTTTAATTTAGGAAGTTGTTTTAATTTAATAAGTTAATTATTAAATATGTCGAAATGTATTTTGTTTTGTATGTCTGTTTGTGTTCTTGCCTTTCAGTCACTTAATCAGTTTTTTTAAATAACATTTTCTCTTGGATAAGCTCGCCCCCCCCCATTAGTGTGCTCGCGCCCTCCTAGGGGGCCGCCCCACAGGTTGAGAATCACTGACTTAAGCATCTCTTTTGGGCTTAAAATGTCGACTTGGCATTATATACTGAACATTTCCTGCACGCTGTGGGTTGATGTACGTTTCTTGATTAGGAATTAATATTTGATCAAGATTACAGATTCGTTAGATCATAAGTGGTGAAAAAAGCTTATTTGGTGATTGATATCGTCTTTCATTGGAGAACTGATTATTCTTCTCATATTTATATCTCTTAACGCGCAAAATCAGTGTAGATATCCATGACTTTGCTCACATGAATCGTTTCATCTATTTCAAGAACAATGAAGCGAAATTGTCAATATTCCATTTGAGTAAGTTTTAATAAATTTATTTTGCATGTGATCAGGCATTAGCGGAAGTAAAAACTAAAAGTTAATAATAAATGAAAATAAAAAAAAAAAAAAAATCTAAACGGTTTCAAATTTGAAATTACGTCTGAAGAAGCGTTTTTTTAACATTTGTGTGTTACATTTATATATTAAATATCACGTTCTTCGCACTTAAACCATAAAATTCAGTTCAACAGCAATATCGCAAAATAGCTTTAAAACGAGCATATCCTTTAAAATTTCCGATACAGAGACTCACGCGCTGGAGATAAAAATGTTTTCTTCTGCACAACGTTGCCACTGCTCGCTTTGAAATCGTTGAGTTTGTTAATCAAAAATTCGTTAAAATTTTACAAAATAGGAAATCGATAATAAAACATATTCAAAATTTCAAATTTGGTCTTCCACATGCCCATATTCGTAGGAGGATTACGTCTTTCAAAATTCGATGGCTCTATGTACCGTTGTTTTATCACAATGCGAGAAATACGCATGCATATTTTTAATTATTTAATTTCTTTAAATATAACACAGGGCGATAATACTTTGTGGCAACGGTTTTGTGGCAAGTGATTCGCCGTTTGTAGTGAATCGACGCAAAATCGCAAAACGAAAACAATAGTCATCAGGGACAAAGCCCCTTTGGACTAAAAAATTAAATCTGTAGATTTCATGTTAATCTTACACCTGGAAGAGTTTATCATTAATATTTTAAAAAACTTAAGAATGCTTAAGAAGTAAAAGTCTAAAAACTATAAGGAAAAAAATTGCAATTCAACTTACTTCTTTTTCTGTTAACCAAAACTTCCACGCAACTGTTCAGTTAAAGGATTAAATTGTTATTGTTAGTTACTGTATGACGCAACTTTTGTAATTTTTTGCGATTCCGTTTTCTAATATAATTTAAGCTACAATTAATAGGAAATTATGTAATTTTCGTTGCTATCTTTTAAGTTGCTTTGGTAATCGTTTCTGTCTTGCTGGTGACAGTTTGCCATGGGCAGTCTTTATGAGATACATTAAACCATTCATTTTCAATGAGATTGACACAAAGCAATTTAAATCAAATTAACAAAATGACTTTCATTATAAATAACTTAAAAGAATGAGAAAACCATCTAAATTTGTTTCTTTGATCGATAATTATCTCTTCGTTGGTAATAAGGAAACTATATGTAGAGTTTAGATACGTTTTACTTTTGTGTACGAAGTAAAGGAAGTATATTGTAATTGCGAAAAATTTTGGGTATTATATTTCAAAATAAATTTCTATTTTGACTGCTTTCGAATCCATTTGAACGATTTTTTTGCGTGTCATCTGTACGTATGGAGGAAATAAGGTTTGGTTTACTCAAAGCGGATTGTGAAATGGATTCAGAAGAGTTCTTTTGTGACGTCTGTACGTACGTATGTAGGTATCTCGAATAACTCAAAACAGAGTAGCCTTAGAACGTTGACCTGCTATGACATGTAGCTGTGCACCTGACTGTTTGGTTGCAATCCGCAGCACCAGACTTACATATGTAGTATATATATAGATGTAAAATATAAAAAATACGATGGCTTTTCTCTACGCGAACAGGCAATCTCTGATTAACTTTCCACTCGTCCCGTCTGCCTCCCTTTGTTTGAATAATACTTTGCAGTAAATTTAAAGCTAATATTATTTAGTTTAAATAACTATCGCATATGTAATCTTGGAGAATCAAAAAGAATAATAATTTGCCATTTGAATGGAATAATGATGTGGAATCAAAACAGCTAACTTCTTCTATGTCATAATTTCTGCACTAAACTACTCAGCCACAACAATGTCCGGATTATGATGCCAAGGCTTCATTCATGTACCCGACTGTCAAAATATAACATATATATATATATTATATTACAATATCACAAAAGTTTATATTAAAAACATAATTATAGTTTATTTTGTTGTTTCTTTCTGTTTTAAATTCAATAAAAAGATCTAATTTCATTGATTTGAAACTGAATTTTCCTTTGCGTCGAGGAGAACTTTAAAACTTTCGAATGAACTCTTAGTAAGTTACTTAGTAATTCAATATATTACAATTAGTTGAATAAATGCCAATATGAAATTTTAATATTTAGCTGTCGGTTTGAATTCCGAATTGTGACCAGCAGAAATTTCTTTGCAGATTCCAATTTTTAGATTTAAAGCAAAATGTAAGTATACATTTGACATTTTTTTGCTTTATTTTTATTCGTATGCTTTCAGAAGAATCTAGCGAACTATTATTAATTTAATTAACATTTTTTATACCCATCAGTTATTTAATTTTTTTTTTAAATTTTGCATTGGTCTGTGTGCAATGTAAGTTTAAGACCACTGTTGTAAAGCAGTGTTTATGTAATATGTCTTCTTGCATTGTAGCAAAGTACCATACAATTCATAGAAGTGAGAAAGATAGGGATATCGCATTAAACATTTTTCCAAAGGACATTTTTCTTTTGGGAAAAAAAGGATACATATGTAGACGAAAGGATTCTATTAACGTGAAGAACGCAAGAATTTAAGAAGTTTGATTTTTATTCAGTTTAAAGCTGGTACGTTTTTGTTACATATGTTCACTGAAATTAAATCAGGTAGCTGTCGCTTTCACTGTGACCAACGCTTAATCGCCCAATTAGGCAAAAGATATTGAAAACCCATAATTAAAACCAAGTGAAATCTTGCTTCTAGTACCATTTATTCTCTTATTTTTTTCTTTCTTTGTTTTTCGCAATCAGTATGGTGACGATATTCAAGTTATTATAAAGTAAAAAATGAAGCTATTGCATCTTCCAGGAAATTTTATTCTCCCCTTCAACTGGGAGTAATAAAATCATTGAACACTGGTAGTTCCGACCCGGGTTTGAATCGAGGAGAACGGGCTGTCTAAATGGGCGTTTTCGTCGTTTTTCCTATGTATAACGTGTATACGAACCAGTGTCCTTTTGAAAGACCTCTACTAAGGTATGCCTTCCCTTAAGCAGATAGCCCTTGTGCTTTGCCATAATAAACTAAACATAAACCAAACTTTCAATCCAATTTGCGAAAGCAGGCAAGGAGGAAAATTATATACCACATAGGAGCCATTGAAGTTTCATGTGGAAAATTGGGGAAAAAAGGAAGGCGTTCTCATCCACATCTTCAAAAATCATGTTATTGACAGAGGAAGGTTTTTTTGCTTCCAATGGCGGGCACTAGTCGTTATACATGTTGCCACTACTAAGGCCGGAAACCGTGGTCATTTTATGATAGAGCCACCAAACAGGAGGGCCACCGTTGCTTCTTATGAACGGACAGGGCACTAGAGGGAAAGAGTACCCAGACCTGGCTTGCTCGAAGCTGTCTTGCATGGTTTACGGCCCCAACCATTAGAGGCGATCCAAGGAGGCATAACCCCAAGTTCAACTCAGGAGAACAATTTTAGTTTCGCACAGTTTGGGTTAATAAGCACGGAAGTCAAGGGTAGACGACAATGCATCCACCACAAAAAACAAAGTTACAGTAAGACATCGACCGTCCCTTCATATTGACCAAGGGGAGTCAAACCCCCAAGGACAGCCATGGATATCATACCATATATCGTCGAGGCAGACAAGACATCACCATATGGTCCCTTCCGAGCCTGAATAAAGGATGGTTCCAATCACTGTTGAAGACTGTTAATTTTTCCCCAGAAGTTGTCTAAAGGAGTTGTCACATCTAGCGACGGTCTCTGCTAGAGAGGACTTTTCTGAGAAACGAGATTCTGTTGGCACTGGTTTAAGCGGAAGGATTACTTAAAAAAATAGCTCCCCTGGAAGCAAAATCCCGCTTAGCTACGGAAATAATGTACCAGATACGTGGGATTTTCTGAAACCTCATCGAAAATGTCTCGGGTGGAGCTCTATCCCGGGTAGAGATCAACCAATCGGACAAAAGTGCTTCTAAAGGATCACGTGATCCCAATCTGAACGATAATCAATTACTGTTTGGCGTTCAAGTCTTTGCAGTATATGGTAACCTAGCTACGTGAGTTTCCTGGAAATGTGCGGATTTTGAGAATTGTCCCTTTCGACGTCCACTCTCGCGTAGCCGAAACATAATGTGACTGGGGCCTAATACACTCCTCCATCAAGAAAGAACTTCGCGACAAAGTATGCGTGAAACTGGGCGGCCGGAAGTCTGCTGGCTGTCAGTCGCTGCTGGCCGACGGTTGCGATATGACTATTACCGGAAGTCCCGGCCAGCAGCGACAGCTATATCTCAACCGTCGGCCAGTATCTCGTCCTTACCCATAGACCTAAGGCTACGAAGGAACGGCGACGTGCATACTTTCCAAAGCTGCTGAGACATTAATATTCATGTTAACTGAGTTTTCTTAAAGGGAATGGTAATTAAATATAAAGTGTTCTATAAGGAATGACCGTATTCATAACATTTAAACTCTTGGATATTAAAGGGCAGAATTGCCACATTATTTTCAGTAAGCCATACACAACTGCCACGATATCAAAATTTTGCCAAAAGATGCAAGCAGTGCTTTAACAGATGGGATATCCTATTCGTTTAAGATCTCAATATTGTGGAAATCAATTTGTTTATCTATTCTCAAGTAAAAACAAAAGCAATTAAATAAATGTGATATTAATTTTAATTTCAGTTTTAGCGTATTTTTAAATATTGCTTTCTCCCAGCACCTTATAATGTTCCTCAGTACTTTGTCTATGATAAAATGTGGAGGAACCTACTGAACTAAGTATCGAATTATCACTGAGTTCAAGAAGTTACTACAAAAACTCGAGAAGGGTTAAAATACCCTTTTATTTACTCAAAGAAATAATAAAAGATGGATCCTTCTTGTGCTTACAGGAAGCCTCTACTTGAGCTTTTAAATCAGGGTAAGAAAATAAGAAACTAATCCAATACTAAACTAAACAAACTTTAGCCGAAGCTAGACACAAATACCTAACGTAGTCGGTCCTAAAATTAACCTACCCGGCGATTCTCCACAGCTCCTTACAATACGGCCGAGCGTAGTGGATTCAAGATCGAAGCACCTAGAAGGCAAACACGCGCCACTAGGGTCTCCTAAGCACTCTTTCGCGAAGTACGTTGACATTTCCTTAAATACTTCTTCTAACTCATTTGCATTCAACACGATTCTAAAAACTCATTCTGGTAGGGAGTTGTAGGTGAGAAATAAGAATTGAAAGTGTTTTAAATTAAAAACAACTGTTATAAAATTAAAATGCACTTGGGCTACGAATTAACTCATAATTTGACTCGTCGTTGGCAATGAGCGTGTTAAAAGTGACCCAAAATCGAACGAATTGTAGAATTACACTCTGCGCGATTTGAAACATGAGTTTTTAGTTTGATAACTCACCAATTTTTGAATTAAATTCACAAAATCTTCAACTATGCATTTTCGTACTTGTTATTGTAACTAATTTTCATAGCTGTTATTTATCTCTGTGTAAAACTATTTTTAATTTATTTATTCTTTCTACCATTTCAAGGGCATTTTTCATTTGTTTCATGAAAATAGAAATACCTCCCGGATAAAACTTCTGCAGTGCGTATAGACAAGGAAAACATTCCCAAGAGCGCAAGTATGTCTGTAAAAAAGAAAGGATTTTCCGATGTTGAAGAAGATGACTCAGATGTACCTAAACCGCCTGACGGAGGATGGGGATGGGTGATTGTCTTTTGTTCATTCATGATTCAATTAATCTCTTTTGGTATCTCTTTAGTATTTGGAATATACTACGTAGAGTTTCTTAGATACTTTGGAGAAAGCAATGGTGCTACATCTTGGGTGCTGTCCATCATGAATGCGATGACATTTTGCGTTGGTGAGTTGATTTTGGTTAATCTATCCCTTTTTAGGCTTAATGTCCTGCTCTAAAAGTTATACTTTTTATCACAACTAAACCGTACACTTCACACACACACATTAAAAAAAAAAAAAAAAAAAAAAAAAAAAAAAAAAAAAACATTGACAGTTCTGTATCTTCCGTTCTGCCGAGCCGATTTACGAAATTTAACTTGCCTTTTTCATTTCTCAAACGCACAAATTAGGATATGCATTAGATCTATATAGAGTGTTGTTCAAACATATAGGTGTTTTAAACCAAAATTGGACCTTTTTTCTGAACTGATTTTAATCCATATTTCGAGTCTACGACTCAAATTATTCCAAACTGCCAAGTTTGTAAAAATTGCACTATTATTTTTTTAAGAAATTAGGGTACCGTTCTGTTATTGGGACCGTATTCAAAAATGTATGAACGTATGCGCGTGTGTATGATTGTATGTGCATATATGTGTATAGGTATACACAAACATACATTCGTGCTTACACATACATACATGAGCACATACATCTATACATACGTACATTTCTGGGCCCGGTTCTGATAACAGAACAGTACCAAAATTAGCTCTCAAAATTTTAGCTCCTCAATGTTAATAATATCTATGTTGCTATATATTTAATAATATCTTTTTTATATAAAATTGACTTAATTCCTTCTTCCACAGTTCGAAATTTATGTTCAATCCAAATAAAATTTGCAGATATTTTCTGATTTATTTTTAAAAATTGTATTTTTTGGTAATTTTTATAAATTTTTCGGAACAATATTTGATTTAGAACTTATGAAACTTTTACCATCCCCTTAAAGTAAATATATTTCTAGGCTACTCGCAAAGATTAGAGTTTTTTATTCCAAATTTTCATATTTTTTATAAGCGATAATAATGCCATATGGGGTTTACCAATTTTGTTAAAATTTCTTGAAATTGAAATGGTGCACCTTTTTTTCCATTCGTGCACAATGAAAGGAAAAAGAAAACAGGTTACGTTAAGAATTTCACCAAATGAATTATTCTTTAAGCAAACTGAAAAAAAGAAATACTTAAATGTTAAGCAAACTGAAAAAAAAGAAATACTTAAAAAGAAATACTTAAAAAAAGAAATACTGAAAAAAATGAAAAAAAGATAAATTTTTAAATTTCTCGTTAAGTTTCTCACCAAATTTTGTAAAATTTAATATTTAGGCGTAATTTGAGGGATAGAATTGGAATATAGAGAAAAATCTTATTTTTAAAAATTTTATTTTTAAAAAAAAGTCCAATTTATGTCAAAATATCTATGTTACAACACTATTATATATATATCTAAAATATATCCTAATTTCGTGATGTGAAAAATGAAAATTAAATTTCATCAATCGGCCCAGCAGAATGAGAGATCTAGAATCTTTTTTTTTTTTTTTTTTTTTTTGGGTGTGTGTGTTTGTGTGTGTGTGTGCAGAATGTACATATAGCTGATATTAAACTACTATGAAAAAAAATGGCTGTTTCATATTAAACAAATTATAGAAATTTTTTGCAAAGCTATCCTGAAAATCATTGTCCTAACTTCCTAACTTTAAGTTTAAACACTTATTTTGCATTTGCATCGGACGGGTTTGGATTACTGAACTGTGGCAAAAAACATTAGGGATAACCGCCTGTTGGGATGGAGGCCTTTGTGAGTGACTTTCAGCGAAAATAGCCTGTATTTACACACTATGAAATTTGATAACACTGCGTACCATCTTCCCATTCAGCTATTGACGGTAAAGAACTAACAGAGACTCGCACCTTTAGCTACTTTTGCCATTTGTAGGTCAGCAAATCGAGACATCTTATCACTAAATTACATATAAATTTGAGACTGCATATCGTTTACGATTTATTACTGTTAAGGATGAAAAGGACTTTTATAATTTCATTATTAATAATTTGTGAAAATGAGCAATGTGATTTTAAAATAAATTACCATTCGATATTTGAATAAATTCTATTGTTGTCGCCATTTTAAGGTCTCAGTGTAGTAGGTTATTCTACTAATGTGCATTAGTGATGACACATAAAACATCTTTCTGAAAAATCTGTAAGCTTTGGATATTATTATTATTACCAGTTTTCTATGCCGGACATATATAGCAGAGGACTGCTCTTCTTCGTAATTATATATATATATAATTAAAAATATACTTCAAAAGAATAAAGTTAAATTTAATTTTAAATAATTCTTTTGCGCCATAGCTGCAAGGAATGAAATTTGAATTTAACAAATATTCTCTATTTGTAAAAAGCAAATTAAAGTTAATAAATTTAAATTAAATTTAATGCAAACAAATAAATGATTAATTATTGTTGCGAACTAATCTACAATAGCATTTAAATTCTAAGAGCATATGTAAATCAATTGCAAGTATCAAAATCCATTAATAAATATAAAATTCCAAAAATTATGTAATCCTAAAAAAATTATTTAAAAAATGCATAAGTGAATGATTGTTAAGCAGGCAGACAGACAAGGGAAAATTGCCTCCAAACCTAACTCTTCAATCATCCAATTCGTGTTTCGTCATCCATGTAGACAAGGGTAAAAATTAAAATCAAAAGTATATATATATAACTATACTTTTAAAGTTGCTTGAATAGTGTCACAGTACAGAAAGAAGTTGCTTCATAGTTCCTGTAGGAAGATTCACAAGGTTTAAGTGAATGGCCTTCCCAACTATCGGAATTTGAGATCCAAACATGATCAAATGGACATACGAAATACTAGAACAGACGGAGCTGTTCTAGTATTTTCTTTCTCATCTAGAAGAGCTGAGACATCGAGGCGTTAATAGATATTGCCTTGCACCATGTTTTAATAAGATAAAGGATTGGTCCTAAGTAAGAGTAATGAGGTACTTCAGTTTCTATTTGTCTATTAGAGGAAAATTTATTACCATTGACCGTAAAAGTCTTGTTCATTAAAGAACAGTAGGATAAACTCATGAAGCATATGTATCTTGATAAGTTTATACATTAATACTAATATCAGACAGAGACAAACAAGAGCAAACACACTGGTACTTTTAAACATACTGCTAAAATAGTTGTTAATGAGCAGTTTTAGACTATAGGAATAATGCCTGTAAGAGCAGAACACTTTAGTCACCAGCCAGGAGACAACAGAGGAGGAAGAAAATTCACCCCACTAGGATGTGCTTGCCATCTAGATCTTCCCAAGAGGGGGCTGACAGTGCAGGAGGGAGAAAAAAGTATAACTGTTGTCAAATACTCGTGCACAATATTTCAGATTATAGAACAAATGCCAACGCAGTAAACAGTGGAACTGTAAGAGTACAAATGGAAGTTGCAATGCAAAAATATGTATACTGCAAATAAATCAAAGGCATACAATGTATAAAAGAAATATATACAGCCATTTACATCATCATACAAAAATTATTAGTGGATAAGCAAAAAAAATTCACTGTATACACGAGATATATGCAGCTGTTTACATTATCATATACCTGGCACAGAAAAAAATAAATAAATAAATAAATAAAAAACGCTATACTGCGAAGTTTGGGTTCTGGTGGATATGCGTTGCATAGACTCGAGTAGGATCCAAAGTACAGTTAAAATCATCAAATCAAAATTCCCAGTATTTTTCGATTGCCATTTATATAGTTCATCAAATCCTTTTCAAATCTAAACTCTAGCCTGTGGCAATTCAATACCTTTATGTTACCATATTTTTTCCCAAACATGCCGCAAGAATACGCGGTCTTCGAGGAAATGTCGTACATTGCCTTCAGCACTACAGAAACTACAAAGACTATTATTTTACAAATTAAATTATTTCAGGTACTCCGGGAAGCACACGCGTCCAGTAATTATTTGATTGTAATCAAAATCACATATCATTCATATATTTTTAGAAACTTCAAAGTTCAACAAATAATCTTTCCTTTTTCCCAAAATGCGCCATTTCTCTTTTCAGCAATCATAAGAGAAATCCTTGATTTTACCAATAACAATTCTGTTTGATTCCTGAATATCGAACGCATTCCCGGCATTACCCATAGCATCTTTGGCCAGCATGTCGGCACTCTTTCTGCCTATAATACCTGTATAAGCTTTCACCAGTTCAGTTTAACTTCATGTATTTTTCTCAATTTTTACAAGATTTTTTATATATTAGACCAAATTCAGCAAAATTTAAAAAAATGTATATAACACATAATTTGAATTACTATTGTAACATCGGACTATTATTGTATTTATCAATATGTAAATTCTGTATACGAGCCGCTTACGGGGCTGTGAGTAGCAATTGGTAGATGATTCCATCAGTTGAGCATAAAAGCTGAATGTCTTAAAAGCGGTGCAGCTTCTCTTCTGATGGTCTAATAATAATAACATATGACACCAAAATATTAGTGTCATCAGCATCATGACGTTTAAGATACATATATACAAACATCCAAGCCTTTTATGGGATTCCAAGCCGGGTTCAACAGTGTGGCAATCAACAACGCTAAGCACTATTTTACCAGTTAGATACGTTTCTTTCTGCCCTGCTCACCATAAACATGGTGACAATCCATACATTCTTTTACCATTTTAAATGTATTTGAGAATAACCGTTTCCAAATACATAAAAATGTTATTTAAACATGTAAAGTGTTGCACATTTCAGTTTTCTGACTTTTATTCTGCAATGGAAGCTATATAAAAATAAATTTAAATATTTTGCATTACTGAAAAATACAAAACTACTATTAGGTGCTTTTATAACGAAATAGCCACCACTTCCTGCTCTTTTAGTGGGGCAAGTTTAATGGCTATTAAATAAAGTTCCCGGTCATTAAAACAATTATGTAACTGATTCCGCTTTTTTAAATTTGAGATCAACAATTAGAATTCTTCAACGAAAGTACAAATCTTTTAATGATTTCAAAAACATGAAATAACTCATGACATCATTTTAAACATTGCGGCCACAGCGATTTTCATTTTGTGTTCTGAAAAAAATGTCTTTTCAGCGCTGAGAACACTCATAAATCGTGCTGCGCTACAGCAGGGCTATAGGCAGGGTATTCTAGGGTTGTCTCATCAATTTCAGGCAAAGAGAGTTGAGAATGCTCATCAATTACATGGTACTAAATCCAGTTCTATGGGTATTCTCTAGTACTGCTCGTCGGTTTCAGGCAGTATTGCTATTACCGCAGCATAAATTTGTGGCAGGACCTTGACCTAGAGTAAAATTTATAATTTTGTGAAATCCGGTGTTTTCTTGCTCATAAGTTCCATAGAAATGACTTCCGGAATATTTGTATATGAGTCACCGTTCTCTGTCTGCAATGAGTTGGCAGTATTGACATCATCGAGTTGGCAGTATTGACATCATCGAGTTGGTAGTATTGACATCTCTAATCTTAGTGAATGGCGTTACAGAAATTTCTTTAACGATTATTCTTGTGTTATTGTTTTTGAAGGGCCCTCACTGTTTAAATATTGAAGCGCAGTTAAGTATCTTATCAAAGTGTGCATGCCTTAATATTCCAAGCGCTTCATTAGCGCATTTCGCAAATTTAATAAAAAAAAAATTCAATCATCCCTGTGTATTTCTTCAGAAACAACTTGCCTATCCACTGTGATGTAACTTACCAGGTACTCGCTCACAATGGCCAAATATTGAACAGACTGGTTGTCCAACTGCGCGTAAAGATTCGTCAAATGTTGACATTTGTAAACTTATTCCAATGTTACCGCGTGTAATATCGGAACGAGAAACAGACACAATCTAAAAGATTTCAGTCAGTCAGCTACTGCATTTAAATATATTTTAGATATTTAATTCTTTATCTCTAGGTCCATTGGCGAGTGGTCTTACAAAACAATTTGGTTGCAGAGCGGTGACCATTACTGGAGCTTTGCTTGCAGCATTTGGCTTGATAATAAGCATCTTCGCACCTTGTGTCACTTTTCTTTACTTCAGTATAGGAATATGTGCAGGTTAGTGGCATCTTTATTCTTTTATTAGAACTCGATTTTGTATGTGCGTTATCTTTAATACACAGTTATTTAATGTGACATTTAATTTCATACTTCTTTTCATAAATTTTGCATTTAGTATTCTCATTTTGTCCTCCTCCTCAATAATCCCAAAACTGCTACTTTACACCGTAAATATCCAGTTATCAAATTCAGAATTAGGAATTAATTTTTAAGCTTTTACACCAGCCCTCGTGTTTTAATTGAAAAGTACGCTCTTTAATTTGCATAATAAAAACATTATCGACCTTCATTAACTCTGTCACAGCGAAGTCACCCAAAGCGTCCGTGCATTTAGGCATCGGTAGGTCGCCTGGACGCCTGCGTCCCTTTTCGTCGCCTGGACGCCTGCGTCCCTTTTCGTCGCCTGGACGCCTGCGTCCCTTTTTTACCTGGTGATCTCCCATCTCATTAGATCCATCTATCTATCATTAGATCCCCCATCTCATTAGATCCATTTCTACCCCCATCTCATTGGAGCACTGCTCGTTGGTTTCGGGAGTTTTTAAATGACATGGCAATCATTCTTTTGAAGCTACTAAAAGCGGTTCTCTTATTTGAACGAACCTTTCCTCGCCTTTGGTTAGCGTCAAAGTTTAGCTATTGAAGCTCGCATATGCAATCCTATCCGAAGGGGAAACTGCACAAAGATCTCAAAGAGAGAAGTAGTCGCTTAAGTAGGTTTTGTTAACGTTATAATATTCTACCTGGCATGAGGGAAGGAAATCTGTTCCAACAAAAATTCGTATACACGGACGTTTCAGAAATTTGAAAGGAACATATTTGGTTTTCTACCGATGCGAAAGAGTTAAAAGACATCAATTAATTGAAATTTTAATTTTATATCTCAATAAAAGGTATTTATTTAAACTACTAAATTCTGTAGATTTCGATTTAAAACTAACTTGTATAGTAAAAATTGAATAACGGATAACGCAACTTTTCAATCTCATATTTACAGCTGAAATTTGTGTATTCGGTTTCCGTGATGAAATTATTAACTTTGCTACTCAAATATATTTTACTTCGATCTTTGCAATATATCAAAAATATTCGTAGATTTTCCTGCTTTTTTTACAGCTAAAGACTGTTCAGAAAACCGAATTAGTTTTAAAAAGTACAGCTTCAAGTCAAATATGCAGAGAAGTTAGATATTGAGACAACCCCCACATTTTTATGCGACTCTGAAGCGGGTAATTTCTCCTTTTTCCTCATCCTCCGTGTTTAGGGTCGTTTGTAATTTATGACTGACCGCGTTTGATCAGCATTCGCCATAAAACGTTACCACCACCACCGGAAACTACACCGGAAACCGGTTACCAACATACTGTTAATTAGGTGAGTGTACAATGTGTTCTGTCAGTGTATTAAGCAGCAAAATCCTTACACTGGAGCTTAAAAGAAGGTTCAGGAATATGAGACTATCTTAATATTAATTCCAATCTCTTGAAATTAAATACACTTAATCATAATACAGCAACACGAAATGCTGCCAATAAAACTCAATTTTAGTTATCTGGAATTATTTTAAATTTGCTTTCTTCCATTGTTTAGGAGCCGGAATCGGTTTCATGTACTTTACTGTAATAGTCTGCGTAGCATCTTATTTCGAAGAGAAACGGGCACTTGCAACTGGTATTTCAGTCTGCGGAGCTAGTATCGGACTCTTCTTATTGGCTCCTCTGACAGAATGGATTGTGCGTCTTTTTGGATGGCAAGGGGGTATGCTCATCACGGCCGGCATCACACTCAATTGCTGTATCTTCGGAGCTTTTTTCAGACCTCTGAAGAAAAAGAACAAAATACGAAGCCGGGTGTTATTTTCTAATTCGTCAAACCTGCCCTTGGATTCAAATATGAAAAGGGTATTCAATGGTAAGAATCATGTTTACTATATTTTACTTACTATTACATCAGTCATTCAATTTATGAAGAAAGCATTTTATTATCCAGTTGTAATTTTATAACCATTCTCTAAAGTTCACCAAGCCATATGCTAATACGTCTTAATGCAATACTCATAAACATTAAGATCATGTTGTAAGGATTATGTTAATTTTATTAACAGTTAAATTTTAAGTTAAACTTCCTTTCCTGTCAAATTCTTAACTTCAACTTCCGGCCAGAACTTAGTTTTAGAATCATTCTGAATGCATAATGAGGGAAGAGCGGTATTTAACCGCGAAGTTCTACTTGCTGAGTTAGAGAGAATCAGAGTGTCTGATTTGAGCGTGTCTGTCTTTTGGCTACTCTCTTTCAAAGCTATTATTACGCTCGGCCGTACTCAGGCCCTTGATAGCTTCGCAATCATCTCGTGTTTAAGGGGCCAACTGCATTAAAACTTTAATAGTTTCGACTATATCTCTTTTTTAGTTTAAAATTAGTTTTAGTTTATTTCTTAGTCTCTTAAGTTCAATCCCAAGTGTCGGCTTTTATTGTGTACTCCAAGACGGAGTTCTGTTAAATCTTATTGAAATAATAAAGGGTTATTGTGTCTTAATTATTGTGTCTTAATTAATAAAGGGTTAGTTACCCTTCCACCTTGTTGTTTCTTGTCATACGAACCTAAGCGATTATTCGCTTAACAGTTCTTAAGATTCTCCACTTTCTAGAGTAATTGAGAAATACACAAGTGAGAATCCCACAATGTTAATTACTTTTGATCTGAATAAAATGTTATAATCGAAAGATACTGTGTTAGCTTTCAGCCAATTATATCTTTTGAAATTTACTATATACAGTCCTCATTATAATTTTCATTATAACATTAGAAAAACAGAATTCGCTCTTTCGCAACAATTTTTTTAAAAAATGATATATTTTTGGTTGCTTGTACTTTAAAGTAAATAAAGTTCTTTTAAAATATTTCTTAGTCCAAAGGGACAATTTGCCCAGAAGGATTATCAATTTAGTTTTCTCATTTTGCGTCGATTCAAGATAAGCAATATTTCACTTTTCAAATTGTTGCCACCAAATATCATCGCCCTGTATTATATTTAAAGAAATTAAATAATGAAGAATCTGCATGAATGTATGTATGTTTCTTGTATTGTTATAAAACAAGGGTATCTAGAGGCATTAAAATTTGAATAACGTAATCTTCCATGGAATATGGGTATGTGGAAGCATTAATTTGAATTTGAAATGTGTTTTATTACCGATTTGATAGTTTGTGACACTTCAACGAATTTTTGATTAACAAACTCAACGATTTGTAAGCGAGCAATGGCAACACTGTACGGAAAAAAAGAAAAAAAAAACATATTTATCTCCAGCGCGGGGAAATTGTAAATTGTAAAGTGCTCATTTTAAAATTATTTTGCAATATCGCTGTTGAACTGAAATTTATAGTTTAAGTGCGAAGAACATGCTATTTAATAAATAAACGTAACACACAAAGTGTTAAAAAAAAAAACGCGAGTTTGGACGTAATTTAAAATCAGAAACCTTTCAGATTTTTATTTATTTATTTATTTACTTTTAGATTTGTACTGAGTAATGTATTTTTGTACACAGTCACTTTTCCTGTTGTTTTAATTCAATCACTCAATGCAATATATGTATTTCTTTAACTAAAGGTTATTTTAAATTGCAGAAACATTTGGAAACAATGGCGAAGTCTGTCTGTCGACGGTTACAGCCGAAGCTTCTGTAAAACTTCCAACAGTTACACCACAGGTGAACTATAACTCTCTTCACTTTTCTTTCAACAACCAAATCTCCCAGTTGCCCAGTTCAACTGCCAAATCGCCCATTTCGGAAACAAATCGCAGTAGCCATTTACATACAGGTTTTGCACCGAGGGCAAAAGGTATTTGTACCGTCAACAGTCACAAGTCAAAAGAAGAGGTGCCTGAAGAGATTGCCAAAGACAACACTATTTCAGAACAGTCTATGGTAATTCGATTAAGTAACTGTTTGTTTCCATTAGTCATAAAGGATACCTTCAAGGAAATGATGAACTTTCGACTGTTGGAAGATAACGCGTTTCTTATACTTACCATATCAAATTTCTTCACCAACATTGGGTTGGATATTCCCTACATTTACACACAGGATCGAGTCATCGATATGAAGATTGCTGATGAAGTTTATGCTAGTTACTTGTTGTCAGTGACTGGCATAGCAAGTGCCGTTAGTCGTATCATTTTCGGATACTTATCGGACCTCAGCTGTATCAACAGTATGTGGTTATACAGCACAATTCTCATAATATGTGGCGTTAATACAGCTTTCAGTTCCTTCTGTGAGGATTATTATCTCATGGCAGTGTACTCAGCCATTTTCGGAGGGATGTCAGGTCAGTATTTAGTTTTTAAACTCAGAATGCTTGATGAAAAATTTATGATGAAATATATCTCCGCATTTCGTAGTTGTTATTTTATGCAGAATATTTTCATTTTATAGGAGGATATAACAGCTTACAATCTATTGTTTTAGTTGATCTTGTTGGATTAAAGAAACTGACCAATGGTTTTGGAGTTCTGTTACTTTTTGAAGGAGTCGCATGCCTGATTGGTCCACCCATCACAGGTAATCTTTGCATCATTTAATTTCAATCACAAATTAGCAAGTCATTTTTATCTCATACCAATGCACGTCCTAGCGCACTTTACCGATTTGATTTACCGATTTGATAGTATAATTGTTTGCTTCGGTTTATGGAGATTAAAGTGCAAAAGGTTTATCTGCCAAAGGGGAGTAGTGCTTTTGTGGAATCTTTGTAAGGAAAACTAGCTCGTATACATCTTAAACAACGAAAACAACGAAACGCTCATGCATCCAGTTTGTTCGCCTGGACTCAGGTGGGAACTACCAGTGTTCAGCGATTTTAATGCTCGACCGCTGGTAAGCCCTCAATCCTTATAATGAGATATAAAATAACACAATGAGGAAGTATAATAAGGTATATATATATAAGAAGGAATATAAAGAGGAAGTATAATAAGGTATATATAAGCGATCCAAGCGACAATATTTTGTGGATTTCAGTTGTAACCATAGTAGACATGTCTCAATTTGAAACATTAGGTTTGTGTGTGTCTCCTCCTTTTTGTATTGTCATAAAGGCGAATAATTCATTTCAATGTAGTGTCACTCAAAAGAAGAAACATTAGTAAACAAAGTTTGTAATTTATGTATTCAAGTAGTTTAAATACGCTTACAACTTCATGCATGTGAATCTGAAGATACATTACCGGTTTTCTTTGAGTACGAAAGCAGCTGTAATTAATTGTATGAGGGATAAGCTGTAGGCATTTTCGATTATTAAGGGGTATCGGCAACCCCTATACCGACAATGTTAAACTTCCATTTTCGATGTATATTTTCTCAAAATCTGCTGTAGACGCTTGAAATTTTTTGTGTAATTAAAGTATACCTATCTGATTATGAAATGACTGATTATGACTGAATTGAGCTTTTGAAACATTTTGAAAGTTAGAGTAATTTACAGAATATTTTGTTAGGCATAGTAAAATTTAGCACTTTTCTCACACAAAATTTAAAAACATTTTTCCCTTAGTTTACCACAAAAAAGCTCATTTCAGTAAATATTAAGAAACCTAATAAGGCTTATTAGCTAAATATAAACATAATACTATACGCTATAAATATATAGTATAGTATATATAGTATATAAACAATAATATCAGCTGAATAAAAATTTTAGATACCTGTGAGTAGTAGTTTCTGAGAAAAGGTACATCGAGTATAAAAAAATCACGTTTGGAGAAAAACGCGTTTTTATGTAAAACTCCTCATTGATCAAAGCATTCGATGACAAATTAAAACTATATTTTTTACAGTTCTAATTTTCATAGAGATGGTATTTTTAGAAAGATAAAAGGGTAGAGAATTTGAAAATGCAAAAATCCGAAATTAAAATATTTAAAGATTTTTTGGTTCCAACACCCCTAAAGATTCTCAGGACTGCTATTCCTCCTAATTGCGTTTAGGAACATTATTAATCCTGAACGGGAGCAGGGAAGTTATTCAAACTATGCCCGTGTCCATGGAGGAGATATAACCCAAATGCGAAGGGTTAACTTTACCCTTTATGTCTCACAGGGTACAGCCGCTCCCGCACTTCGAGATACAGAGACCAGCACTTATGGTCTAAAACGAGGAAAATAAGGAATAAAGTAACTTAATTAAATAGGAACTAAGATGTTTTACAGAGATTAGTAACGCGAAGATTGGCCTTTTGACACTACGTATGTAGTGAGCGAAATGCAAAATCTACAATACGTCTTCATGTATCAGTGAGAATTAAGTTCTGACCTTTTAAGGCAGACAGGAATGAAAAACACGCGCGTGTACGCCGGAAATCTCTTTCTAACTCTTTCTTTGGCTAAATGCCATAAATAAGATGAATACATGCCGAACAAGTAATATTCAGAATCAACGAGAAGCTTAATTCCGTAAGACATGAACAACTTAGAAATGCAAACACAGAAGTCTTCTGTTGCCCAGCATGTCGGTCCGAAATCCACTTTCAGTTTTTCTGAGCCAAATTATTCAAAAAATCTTCTTTGGTGAATTAATTTCTAGAGCATTCACATCAAAAATTCTTTCTGTTCTAGTTACGACCCTAATCCATCCACTGTGCCTTCACCTTAAGGAAATTATGTTTAGTTCTCGTTCAATCACATATGGCGCCAGAGCTACACAGTCCATCTTTCTATCATATCTTATCTATCCTATATTTATCTCCTTATTTGCGCTTTTCACTGAGGCTGATGGTTCGTAACCTCGAACTAGTCCTGTGAAAATTTGAAAACAATACGCTGATTTTTGTTGTTTGACTTCTAAATAAATAAAAGCCGTGTCTTAAATACTTAACAGTTTGCAAGCTCATTTGCATAAACAAAACTAATCGCGCTTATTTTGGCCGTAAATGAGAAATAAGAGAGGATAGCAAAATTTTAAATTAAAATAAACGTTAGTAAAACTTAAATCCTTAGAAGATAACTACAGCTTCCCGAGACAGCGCTTAGAGACATCCACACATATTCCTGGTTTCCTTCTCTGAACTCTGTGTTCTTCGACTTGGCTTCATACTGATTTTTTTATATGTTGTCTCAGTCCTTTCAGCTGAATCTTGAAAAAACATACGAATGATGATATTTTTCCAAGTGTGCGAAAGAAGACATTCTAAACCGAAACACTCAGTACTGCACAAGAACTTCTGAAATATTCCACGTTTTCTCAGCAAAACAGGCCTATTTTTCTGACCAGTTGCTGGAATAATACATATCAACAAGGATTTGCTTGTACAAATTAGATATCGATGTAATAATTTGAAAATGTCAAAAGTAACTCTGTAATTGCTCTTGTTATTGTATCTGTGACCATTTCGGTGCCATACGGCGTCATAATTTTGGTTCATTTAATTATAACAAAGCACTGGAGGGCTATTTGCCTAAGGGAAGGGGTGCCTGGAGAACTTTCTAAGGAAACTGACTCGCATACACGTTACACATGCGGAAAACTACGAATGCAGGTATGTAGCAAGCCCATTCGCTCGATTCGAACCCAGGTCAGAACTACCAGTGTTCAGCGATTTTACTGCTCGGCCGCTGACGGGTCCATTTGGAGTGGATGATGCAATTTCCTGAAAGAATGCAATAGCTTCATTTTCTGCTTTATGATAAACTGAATATTGGAGGACTTTCTAAGAGAAACTGGCTCGTATATACATTATACATGGGAAAAACCACGAAAACGCCCACGGAGCCAGCCTGTTTGCCGGCATTCACGCTACTGACCGAACTACCAGTGTTCAGCTACTTTACTGCTCGGTCACTGATGGGTCCAACACCATGAGGTTTTGGCCATTTTTTACACTTAATTAGGCTTTCTCCCATAAGAAATAGCAGTATACTTTACATTCTTAATAACAAAGCATCTGCTAGTAGGAAATACTCATAAGCTACAAAATAACAAAGTCCTCTAGGTCTTCTTAAGAGAATTTGCCGATCTCAAAATAAATCTCCCAGCAGTGGCCGACTGGATAAGACCGCTAAACACTGGTAGTTCGACCTCGGTTCGATTACAGGTGAACGAGCTGGTTGTACGTGCATTCTTGTGTCCCCCCCATGTGAAACGCAAATACGAGCCAGCTTCCCTTAGAAATCCCTGTTCGAAAATATTCTTTCCTTGCAGATAGCACTAACGGGCTTTGTCACTTAAATAAACCAAACAAAACCGGTTTGACCCCCCCTCCCCGTCTGTCATTAATTCATGGCTTTGTATTTTAGTATTCTGTAGTCTGAAGGGTCTCCCTGAAATATTGTCCAATCTATATTAAGGTATTTAATCAGAAAGTGCTTCAAACGTTTATTTTCCTAGGATTTCTATCGGTGATGTTTTCCTTTTCTACATGAGCCGCTCTTGAAAATTATTAGCTTGCGTATAGAGATTATTGTTAGCAACAAATGGGCATATCATTTCTCTGTAGTTGTCGATTCTGTTTTTTAATTTCTATTTTTCATAGTCTCGGTTTTGTAAATTAAGTGTTGAATTCATTACAGCCGTAGATCTAATGACGAACACTTTTTATTGCTTTAAGTGTTAAAGATTTTTTATTTCCTTGTAACAGGGCAATTTCTTTCTGGTTCTGAAAGTTTTTCACTGAAGTTCGCAATAAGACGCTTTCATCGTTTATTTGTTAGCCCAAAAGGGATGTTAATCCCGAATGGGGTCTTAGTCTCGAAACAGCATTTTGCGTCTGTTCCCTATAAATGTCCATTTCACTTTTTGGATTGTTGCTACCAAATGTTAGTACACTGGCAAATGTTAACACATTTAAAGGAATTAAATAATGAAGAATCTGTATGAATATATGAATGTTTCTCGCACTGTGGGAAAACGACAGTACCTAGAGCCATAAATTCTGAATAATGTAGTCCTCCACCCAAACGTTTATACCTAAAAGTCCGACCTTTGAATTTGTTTTATTATCTGTTCCATATTTTGTGTAGCATTAACGAATTTTTGATTAACAAATTTAACGATTTCAACGCCAGGAATGGCAACACTGTACGGAAGTCAATATTTTTATCTCCAGCGCGCGAGACTGTGTGTCTGAAATTCTAAAGGTATGCTGTTTTTAAATATTTTGGGATTTTGCTATTGAACGGAATTTTATGTGGCATAATCGCGAAGAGTATGTTATTTGAAAAAATCAATACACACAATGTTAATAATAAAAATGAAAAAAAAAAAAAATTACGAAGTTATCTTATTAAGAAAACTGAACATTTATGTGATGAACTGAGAAAAGTCTGAAAGCAAACTGAAAAATGTACGCCATCATTTAATTCAGCATCGGGAATCATAACTTTTACTGCTATGCTGCTTTTAAAATTTTTGTAATTTCGCTGTTGAATTGTATAGGACGTAAGTGCGAAGAAAATTATGCTTAATAATAAAGCTAAGGAAACAATCGGTTAGTAGGAGTAAGTGTAGCAGAAGACTGGTAGATTACGAGCTCAGCGAGAGCATAAAAAACCTTAAGGCTACGTTCAGACGGGGGCATAAATGTCATAAATTGTTAAAGCCGAGCTTCGTTGCTAGGTGACTAGACCTTGCTGCATCACAAAAAGTGGTTAGGGGTTTTGGCCTAAAGTTCGAATTTTCAACTTGGTGTAGGAGTCGACATTAGTAGAAGAGCGAAAGTACGAAACCTATTCAGTGGAAAAACAGAGTGGGAAATATATAAACATATTCACGCAAACGCAAATTTAGCTTCTGTAATTGGCTATGGCTTAAACCCTGTTTCACAGGTCTTACAAACCGTTTGGGGAGACCGTTAAAACCTAAAAATTTTCAGATTTATTGCAAAATAAATGCTCTGTCATTCCTTCAGCATCTGCATCGAAAATAAAGTCAAGATTAAGTACAGGATACAATCGAAAGCGAGCGTGCTTCAAAGCGTTCTTGAGCTATTTAAATGTTCTTTTTACACTGTAGAGACATTAGGATGTTTGGAAGCCAGAGAGATGAAATATTATCAATCGCCTTCGCCGGGAATCGAACCACGGTCCTCTGGAATATCGGCCCAGAGTGCCAAACCACTACACCACGAAGGCACGCTAGGAAGGCGGGAGAAATACCTTATAACACTCATCAGTGCGTGAAGATATTTGTTTTCTTTAACATTATTGAGACGTTGTTATCTTTTAAAAGCTTTTAACAGATTTACATAAAAATATGTGTAACTTCTTAACCAGTGATTACCTTGAAGACGGCATTACTCGCGAACAATTTTAGTTAAAGTTTAGGAGTATCTAACTTAAGGACGCTTAGTATGAGAACTCTCATTATCTTATAGCTTAATTTAAAATGTAGGGTACTTACGTATTAACGCAACCAGGCCAAGATTCGCATAAATCGCCAAATTTGGTGACCCTACTTACGGCAACCTTACGTGTAGCGTGTTTTGTAAAAAATTATTGTAAAAAAAAATAACACTGGGCGTCTACTACACGCAATGTTTTCGTCAGAATTTCCGGAAAAAAGAGACTTTTTGGTTACTACCTAAAGAAGTGCCGTTACCCTCATTGGAAAAAATTTGCGAAATATCAAGGAAGAAGCGTCATTATTCGGTTGCTGGAAGGATACAAGACAAGTGAGTTCGAAATGCTGATTTCTGCATGGACTTTGACACGAATATACTTTGTGATCCCAAGACGGCGTTCACACACACGTGTAGAGCGCATGGGGGCTCATCCAATGGCGCACTAAAAACAGAGAGGAACACCCGTCATCATCTGAGTCATCCTATCAATTTATATGGGCCAGCTCAGCTGTAATGCGAAATATGGTTTTCAATCATGCTAAAAGCAATAGCAAATGATTTCCCCGAAAAAATAATTCTGCAACTTATTCAAATTCGAACCCGGAAGGGTTTAATTGCTATTTTATATTTTAAACAAATAATATAAAAAAACTGTAAAATTATCTGTATTAATATTACATTTTCTTTCTATTCATACATTTTTACTCAAACTTACAAATCGCGCTAACCTGGTTGCGATAATACGTAAGTATCAAATGTAGCTTTTGGGTGTATATAGTCATATTTATGTGAAGAATTTAAATGGTATTATTTCACTTAAAAACATGACGGTTAGAGAAATAAAACATTCTTCTTTTCATGAGGGGAAGTGATTAAATTTACCAGCAAAAAGTTGTCATTCACTAAATTAATCGCTCGGAAAAATATGTTGTGTCTGGTTATTCTGATAGGAATGAAAGTATTTTGATGAAAAATTAGAGGTACTTATGAATCGCTTTTTCAAGAATTATAATCGTTGGATTGGATTGACTTACATTATTACATTATATCATAAAAGTGCCTTGAGGCAGCCTAAAATAAAACTGGCCATATTTATTTCATACATGAATAAAATTGCATAATACTTATGCCGTTCATCCGTTCAACCACCCGCAGTAGAAGCCGGGGCGAATGTCTCGTGTTTTCTTACTTAAAACCGTCGGCCATCCGTAAGCAATAACAATAACGTAAACAGTTATTGACATACTAAACTCTGCAGAAAAATGTATTTACAATAAAACTCTCCAACAGAGTATATTGCCTCACAAATATTTTTGTCGGCAATCTGTTTTCAGATGATAACTTCCACGCAAGAAATGCAGATTGCCAACGTTTTCTACATTTGTGTGTTTCCTAACATACTCCTGGTTGATTTGGTGATTGAAGTTTTCATTATCTCATCTCAAATTTTAACCCAAAAAGGCGTTAGTCGTAAGGGCTATTATTCTCGAAACGGCATTTTGTGTCAAATCACTATAAACGTCTGTATCCACGAACTGTTGCCACAAAATTTTATCGCCCTGTATTATCTTTAAAGAAATTAACTAATGAAGAATCTGTATGAATGCATGTATGTTTCTCGCATTGTGAAAAAACAGTTATACCTAGAGCCATCGAATTTTGAACAACGTATTCCTCCACGGGAATATGGGCCCCTCGAAGCCCGAATTCTGAATTTGCTTTATTACCTATTTCATATTTTGTAAAATTTCAATGAATATTTGATTAACAGCCGCAAAGATTTAATAACGAGCGGTGGTTGCACTGTATGGAATAAAACATTTTTTTTATCTCCAGCGCACGTTACTGTCTATTTATTTTAGAGGAAATTTTTGAGGAAGAAATTCCAGCCATGTGTGAAAAGAACATCAGTAAAACTGAGCTTCATATAGACAAAGCCTGTAGTCACATGTCTAAGTTAACTGCCTCTTATTTAGTAAAGAAAGCATTAGGAACACAAAAATGTATCCCAATTAATAAAATACCTGAAATCATCTGAAGCTTCTGCTAAGTACGAGGGCAGATCAAAAAGTAAATTACACTTCCAAGTTATGACCATTTAATAAATTGTCAATACAAAAGCAACACGGCTATGACAGCATACAATGTAAGTTCACTTTTCCACAGAGTTGCCAAGACACTCTAAACATTTCTCCGAACGAAAACGAACGTTTAGACTCCAGATGCATAAAAATGTCCTCCAGCGCTATATAACCACACGGAGACAGCTGCTTTCATCTCCTCATCATTTCGGAATCGTTGTCCAGCGAGATGCCTTTTAGGCATACCGAAAACATGAACGCAACACCTCACAAGGCTAGCCAAACGTGCGATCCGCTGCAGCGATTCAAGTGGGAGGTAGGCAGCATCCTCCATACAGTTCCGATTTAGCGCTATGTTACTTTCATGTTTTCGGCAAGCATAAAAAGCTTCTCGGTGGACAAGGATTCCGAAATTATGAGAAGGTGAAAGCAGCTGTGTCTGTGTGGTTACATAGCTCTGGAGGACATTTCTATGCATCCGGAAACGAAAAGTTGGTTGTCCTTTCGGAGAAATGTTTAGAGTGTCTTGGGAACTATGTGGAAAAGTGAACTTACATTGAGTGCTGTCATAGCTGTGTTACTTTTGTATTGATAATTTAACAAATCGTCATAACTCACTTTTTAATCTGGCCTCGTACATTTGTGCTTTCGACTTGTTAAAACTTGCCTTAGGAAAACGGCAAGCAAGAACAATGAAAAACGACACACGTGGCATGGGATGAAACTGACATAACAGTACTAAGAAAATTTTACTTTCATAGACATCTCTACCTGATGCCAAGCATCAAGGCTATCAGACAGAAATAAATCGCAATAAATATGTTTTTATTAATAAATCTAATAATCACAATCGTTTCTAAAAAGTGCGTACCAGCTTTTATAAATACAAATTAAATTCTGCTTTAACTAATCCACCGTAATGTGGGATTTTTACAAATCTAACTCCATAGTCTAACACTTTTCTCGCGTGCTTAACTGTTCTCTGCACAGTGTAAATGATGGAACACTAACCATTTTTTTGAAGTGAGATTAACGATGTTATGTTATGTTAAGTTACTTTACCATATCCTATGAGCTGCCTATGTGATGCATCTTTTTGCCATTTAAACTGAGCCAGACACGTCGCATTCTGCACTCCATTACCGGCGATACTGTTATCAATTGGCAGGTCGTATCTAGAAAACAAAATTGAGTATATATTCATGCAATATGGATAACCTGGGATTTTTTTTTCAGGTTGGTTATACGATTATACCCGGTCTTATGATCCTGGCTTTTACGTTTCTGGATTTATGATGGCTTTCAGTGGATTCATGCTCTTCTTTATTCCTTGTGTTCAAAGGATTTCAGGCAGAAAAAATAGAAAAGGAGAAGACTTTCTAAATATGTCAGTTCCTGCGCGTACAGAACTCGCTCTTACAGAATCTAAATCGCATGAAGAAATTTGCACCAAAATGTAATGATGTAGCTGAGTAGTAATGGGGCGACGGAAGTGACATCACGGAAAAGACGTATGATCCAGAAAGCTGCCATCTTGCATTCCCTCTCACCGCCATCTTGGTTCTACCCGAAAATAAGGTGAATGTTGTCATATTGGAAAGTCTCCCGTTTACTTTGGGGCAAAGAAAATTTTGTTTCGAAAACGTATTTAGGACGACTTTTTTAGTCAATTTGTTATTATTTCTTTATTATTTAAGCTATAATTATTTTTATTCATCTGTAATTATTAATGTAATCCCTGTTTTATTGTGTTGCAACAGATAATTGAGTTTAATGTTTACTTTTACAAATTGTAAACAAATAATTTTATATGTGTTTTATGTGTTTAACGTAGAATTTCAGGAAAAGCCATGCAGTCAGAAGTGTCTTTTCTCAAAGAAAATTATATTCATTGGACTTGCACCGACGAGCCAAAGCATTACCACAATCCCCGTATTTTTCAATGAACTTATCTACACTCATGTCCATAAATTAAGGATAATGCAAAATCAGGCAAAGGAAGAGTTAGAAGCAAAACAAATTTGACTTATTTGTAAAGCTTATTTATTAAACAAAAGGTAAAGAGCAAAAAAAGATGCTATATGTTTGATATTATTAAAAAAATTAGCGATTTTTCTCCCTGGAGCAAATTACAAAAAAAAAAAAAACTTATTTACAAAAAACCAATATTACATGGTTGGTATGATTGTTAATACATTGTATGTCTCCCAGACGATGCAATACAGTCCCGTACAACGCCTAGGCATGCTGAGTATCAAATTATCGATCTGATCTTGGGGGATATTACACCACTCAAAAAGCAATGCTCTCCGAAGTTCCGGTAGACATGTAGGAGGAGGTTGACGGGCTGCAACTCGTCGGCCAAGCATGTCCCACACGTGCTGTACTGGATTCAAGTCCGGGGAGAATGCGGGCCAGTCCGTACGGGTAATATCCTCCGATTGAAGGCATTCGCTTACGATGTTTGCACGGTGAGGACGGGCGTTTGTCATCCATAACACAAATTGTGCGCCCATGGCGCCCCGAAACAAATGTACATGTTTGTTCCAGAATGACGTCCCGATAGATTTGGCTTGTCATGGTTCCAATTTGAACATGCAGGTCAGTTCTGGAACCCAGAATAATTCCACCCCAAACGAGCACTCCTGCACCACCGTAACGGTGTCGTTCAATGATGTTTTCTTGGTGGTAACGGGTACCTGGAGCTCTCCATATGAAAGTCCGGCGAGAATCAGACTGCAAGCTAAACCTGGACTCGTCGGAAAACATCACACAAGCCCACTGTTGCGGTGTCCACAATGCATGCTCTCTACTCCAGGCTAACCGCAGGCGACAGTGAGTTGCAGTAAGTGGAACGCATCTGACAGGTCTACGAGCATATAGACCAATCTGCCCTAAGCGTCTGTACACGGTCTGCCTTGAAATTGTCGTACCAGTGGCTGAAGAGAGCTGACGAGACAGGTCTGAGGCTGTGCTCCGCCTGTTTCTTTTGGCAGTAACTGCCAAATACCGGTCCTCATTCGGCGTTGTAACTCTGGGGCGACCTGTGCTGTAACGTCTACTCACATTACCATCATCTTGGAATCGTTTCCAAAGCCTGGAGATGACATTCTGGGCAATTCCAAGTTCGTCTGATACTTCCAGTTGGGTACGCCCACATTCCAGACGGCCGATAATTCTACCACGTAAAAAATCATCCAAATGCGTCCTTTGTGTCATAACTATTCGGTTATTGCACTGAAATGCTTATAAAGCGCCTGCGAACAATTTTACTTCTTTGCCTGTATTCCTTATATATCACTCTCTTACACTCTCGTCATTGTGACGTACCATCGTTGTCATTATGATTCTTGAAGATGTGTGTAGTGATTTTACAGGTGATATATTTATTTTAGAGTTCGATTTCCGCGTGACTCCGAATTATCCTTAATTTATGACATGAGTATGGCGTGAGCACGTTAAAGTGGAATGGATTTATTGCTTCGGATGGAGTAGGCACCTTCTGCACTACTTGCAAGATGGAAAGGCGTGACTGAGCGAATTGCTAATGCAGACTGTAATGAACTTAAGACTCAGAACCAGTATCTCCGAAACTGCATGATTGGTAGGTTCTTCACGATCTGCCGTTGTTAGTATTTATGCAAAGCAGATAAATGACGTTGAAATCAGCAATAGACGCCAAGGTCTTGAATGTCCACGCGTCATCAAAGAAAAGGACGTCGGAGACGGTCATGCTTGCTACAGCAAAATCGGAGCCAGATAGGGGCTCATCTTATAGCCCAGTACAATGCAGGTCCATGTGCAAGTTTTTCCCACTCGTGTGCCTCTGTTGACCATGCGTCATTCTCAACTACACCTACAGTTAGCGGAGAACATAGAGACTTTCGCCATCGACGGAACAGCTGGCTCACTGGGTTAAGTGCTTTTCAGCCTGTTGAATCCCGTCGATGGAATTAAATATAAATACCCGAGTAAATATAAATACAGAGCTTAGTACTTTCCTCCGGGGATTGGCCACGAACGAGGAACTTGAAATAAAGATCAAACAGAAAAACGTGCATGTGGGACTGCTGAGACTAAGCGGAACACTTTCCTATATGGTACATGTAGGCGTACAGTTATATTAAGGATGTGCTATAAGCTCAGGTGCAGTGTAAGGTGATCAAAGCATTACAATTGTGGAATACATAAATGATTGGATTATCAATATTAATATTATTAAACAGCAAAAAAAACAAAAAACAAGACATTAAATACTAAATATACATATAATTCATCATAAATTACATTACTATAAATCATAAGTAGGAGGGCGTGCAGTACCTCCTAAACGAAGCCACGGCACGCCGCACACTACGTCACTAAAGTCTTCCTTATGTACAGAAAGCATGGTTGCCACATGAAACCACTTATCGCTGTTATTCCTTTAAGAGGAGAGAAAATGAAAAGTAGTTTTTATTTCCTTGCATAAGGCTTACTATATCGTTTGGTTTTAAATATATATATATGTGTGTGTGTGTGCAAATATATATATATTCCGATTTGATTTCATTGACTGCATTTTCTAATTTCAAATACCTAACCTTACTTTCCTTATATATTTTTATGCTTAAAATAATAACAGTATAGTAAAGAAATTAATTCAACATACTTCAGATTAGTAGTAATAAATATATACTGAATATCTGGCTGATGCTGGTTTGCTTTCTGAAGAATATATATTTTATTAAATATTTCTTCCTTAACAAAGAGGATAATGCATAATTAAGCAAGTTTACAGTTGATTAACACTAAAAATCCTTAAATTAATTTTAATCAATTTTTAACGGCATTTTCTGTTTCTCGTAAATACAAATTTACACATAATTGTTTAGTCATTTTCCGCTTTTTTTTTTTTCACTTCAGTGTGGGACTGAATTTCTTAACAGATGAGAAACCTGGAGAATGATTTGAAAAATACTATTTTTTAGCATCTATCAATATTTATTCATTGGTAGTTTTAAAATACGGTAGCAAAACATTTCATATATTTAGGCATTTTAAATTAGATCATTATTTGAGAATACATAACTGCATCTTCCCCAATAATAAAAAAAAGAAAAATTGTAAAAATTCAACAAACTTGACACTTGCTAGGAATTCAAAATTCTTATGTTTCATTCTTATTGTTAAATGTTTGTAACATCCCTTTTGTCTAATTATGTGCATATAATTTTTTTTTTTTTTTTTTTTTTTTAACTTGTAAATTTTTGTTCCTGAAAGCATTTCATTGTAACTTATTTGAGAATTTTTTAGCAAATGATAAATATGAAGTTTATATATGTACTTACTGGAATTTTTATCAGGGTAATCAGTAGGAACTTTTAAAACATCTAAATAGATCAAATGTCCTCAATTCTTAGAATTGAAAGAATAACAAGTTTTATGTATTTTCCTATTAGAAATGAAAATAAATATAGCCTGATTGTTAAGATGTAAAGTAAGATTTAAAATTTTCAAAATAATTCAGATTTTTATTAAAGGAAAGCAACACAATTAGGATGCAAAACATATAAAAGGATTTTATTTATTTATTTTTTTTTGGCCTGAATTTTTTGTACTAGTAAATTTATAACTGGAAGTAATAGGAAATGGCATTGCATACTACAGTGGGAAAAAGGGTGGGATGACTATTTATTTATGTAACTTGATGCTACTTATTTTTTATTACAGTTAAGTCTCTTTAATATCAAAATAGTTTAGTATAACTGCATGAAGCCTTACAGCTGGGAAGGATTAAAAATATTTTTTTACTCAATTTATTTTTGATAAGTTTTCCCCTGTATATGTACAACCACATCATTAGAAATTTTAATTCCAAAGTATTTATTTTTAGTTTTGACAGAATTTAGCATGTATTACAATGAAATATTGTATAAGAATACAGTGAATTTCCTCCATAAAAATGCATGAATATCTATAAAAATGACTCATATGGAATTGTAGGTAAAACCAAATTGTATTTATTTTCTTCTTACAGTGTAAAATTAATGTAATAAACATGTCTGCTTCAATTAAAATAACATTAAAAATTGCAAGATACTGATTTCAAAATCTAAACAATAGTAATATTAATTGGCAAAGTATTTTATCTTCAAAAATCAATATTTCTCTAGTTTACAATAAATACACCTATTTTGCACAAAATGATATTATATAAGAGACTTAACAACTTTAGCACTTTACTGTCATAATTAGTTAACTATTACAAATGCTTTTTTTTTTGTGTGTGTGTGTGTGCATGCATTTTGAAAGAGTTGGTAAAGATTTCACAACACAAATAGAAAAAGCACTATTTTTTTATTTAACATACTATCTACATTCTGCAAAAAATATTCATTTAAATAAAATGAATTACAAGTTAAGTCTGAAGATAATAAGAAACAATAGATTAGTGTCACTATCTTATTTTATAAAGTTTACTAACTTATAAACATAGTATATGTCATTTCTGCTGTATGCATAAATTATTTTTTTAATGTTTTCAATTTCCGTTGCTTATTTAAATTGTTACTTAAAAGATTATCATTCAACTTTTTGCAGTAATTATTTAGAAAAATATTCGTTGATGCTTGTATGATGTTTTTCAAAATAATTTGAGGGTCATGAAGTTTAGGACAGTCATTCAACTCTAAAAAAAATTTTCATGAAGTAAATTTAGAGTAATTTTACACACTGTAACTCGTGGATTTGCCGAAAATAAAAATTTTTGCTCATATTCATCTGAAATAAGTTTCTTAACAACAATAAAATTGTATATAACAGCATGTAAAATATCAGGATGAGGATACATAAGACCTCTATCAAAAACCTTAATCCATGAATGAATATTTTCATCGTTTTCTAAAGCTAACTCCTTATCAATAGTAATATTGGATTTACATACATCACATTTTAACTTTTTTAGCATACTATAACAGCAATATCCAGCTATATAAGTCAAAATAGGTACATCCAATTTTATGTCGTGTATATCACTATCTTCAACTGTT